CACTTTTTAATTACAACGCATGCTGAAAGATAACTTACAGAGTTAATAAATCCACACTAAACACGAAATGTGTCGCCGACTCCACTCTGTCCGTTGTCCCTGACGATCTTCGAGTGCGCTCAGTTTGAAGGTTCGGCTGCTGCTTCCAGAATTTTCAATTCAATCATACGGGCGATTCACAATATTGCGCCTCCAAGAGTCTACAACGCGTTGGCCAATCACAAGGCGCAAAATTTGTTTACCCTTTCCAAACGCTCGTTAGGTCGATAAAATTCGCGCATTGTGATTGGCCAACGCGTAGCACAATCTTGGAGGCGCATTATTGTGAAACGCTCGTATTCAATTCAGGTTTATTTTAAAACACCACAAAAGGAGAAGCCCAAGGACTTATACACGTCGGTTTACATAAAAATTCACAAGACAATAAAAACTACAATTAAAAAATAGCTATTGAAAACATAAATTAAATTAGTTTAGGCGACGCCTCATGTTCAACTGTTTAAACTGGCTGAGGGCAATGACCGAAGGTGAATAGGGGTTTTCACTGTTAATGGCTGAAAAGGTTCGGACCTAGCTGTGCAGGCTGAACTTCAACGACAAAGTAGGAAAAACCGTTGCCGTGAAATTGACATGGTTTCCTTGACTTGTTGGCCGGAGCGCCTCTTTGAGCAGATCTTGCCAAAAAACAAACACTGGAAAGGCACAGTGCATATCCCCTTCTAAACGAGAAATTGTTGTTTGCATGTTTGTTTGTTGCACTGGTTTGTTTTTCTTTTGTTTTGGCATTAGTTGGTATTAAATTCTCCATTACGGAAATGCAGCTAAGTCATTCCAAATGAAACGTAGGTACAGGTATCGAGAAATAGCTCAGAATTTAGATCGATTCTTAGGGAGTGGCAGGTTGGTTCTGCTTTGTGTTTTCATTCTAAGTATAAATATACCTAAAAAGGTGAAAATAAAGACCGAAACTGGAAGTTTTCAAGGGCAGGGTATTCAGAGAATGTTTAAAGATTTTCCTTAAAAAATAATGATTTTGGAGTACAATTCAAAATTTTGTAGTATTAAGATTGCTAGTAAATGCTGTAGGCCTACATTCATGGACAAAATAGAGGGCCTGCATGGACCGCCCTCACGGAGGGCATGTTTTGTTATTTAGATTTAGACGACATTGAAGTACTACAATGTCTACTCAGGCATATCACACAAGAATAAACCCTGTCCGCTGTGAGGGCGCTCCTCGCAGATCCTCTATCTGACTATGATATCAATAGTTTTTTCGAATGACTTTGCTGTACAGTTGGAAATAACACCTACCTACAGCTACGGAAGCTGCTGCCTGGCGGCTAAAGCCATCGTTCATGGAATCATGGGATGTTCTTGGTCAAACCCGAGTCATTCAGGCAGGGGCTGTCTTTTCAGAAGGCCACATGCCAATGAGGTTATGGACTACGTGCACAATTATCCCCCATCGGGGAAAAGAGGAAGGATGACTGGCACTTGAACTCGACGCCCTCAGTACGGACTGACGCCCCCCCGAAGACGTCACGAGATTGCCCCTAGTTTTGGTCAAGGCCCTTCTGGACATTTTTGTTTTCTTGTTTAGAGGAAAATAAATTGGCCAACGCTCTACTTGAACGTTAAATAATAATCGATTCCATACCGTATTCGATTCTGCAATGGCTTGCGTTTCTCTGGACAGTTTATCGTTTTCCTCGATTCTTGACTTTGCAATTGTTCCAGCACAGGGTTGCCGTCTTGGAAGTTGGCCGTCTGTTGATCGAATTTCTTTGCTTCAGTTTGGATACTTGCACGTGTAGCGGTAACAAAAGCTAAAGTTCTTGAGCCAAGGCTAGCAACGGTAGGAAATCGGTTGTCAAGCAATTACCTTTTTTATTTGCTTAGCAGTGCCGTAAATCTGTGTCGGAAATTGAGGGGGGGTGGTGAAAGGTGGGGGAGGGTGAAAATTGAAAAGCGGGGAGGGGGGTAACATCATTATGGCTCTGTATGGTTGATGTTCATGATATCGATGTACATCTGTACTATGCATTCAGAATGACATATTAATATGATTTTAAAATGTTTTCCTTTTTTAAGTAAATACTGAATGCATTTTAGCTGTGGGAAGTCTGAACAAATCCTCACAATCCGCTTAAAATCTTTGCTCACCAAAAGTGTGTGTGTCGGGGGGGGGGTTCTATAGCCCCCTAAAATGGGGGGAGGGGATATATAACCCCATTCCCCTGGGATTTACGCCCACGTTGCCTTAGCCATTATTAGGCACGCCAGTTTCTGCAAAGTGTTACCTACAACGGAATTTTTTTGAGTTTTTTTTGTCCTCGTGTTATCAGCACTTTATTCCAGCGGGACGCCCTTGCTCGAAAAGCACGATGTAAACCGCGAACGCTAGTCTTTGTGAACTTAAAACAGTGGCTGATAGGAATCAGGAAGGCGACTCCTGGGGGTTACAGTACGCTTTGAATAGCAACAACCCGAGGGAAATCACGCAAATTAACCTTTCTACAGATGGTTCCAACGCGAGTCCGCGTGAAATGTTAACAATCTCGTGGGCCCTTAATATTGTTTGTTGTTCATTTTGCAGAGTCTGGATAAAAATGGAACCCGTCAGTAGCAAGAAATTGTTGCTGTAACTATCGAATAAATGCACACTTTTGACACTTTACTCTAGCACCGTAGGTGACTAGGCAGACAATATGGAAATGCCCTACAAATTCAAAATGAATTATTATGGAAATATCCTGTATTATTTAAGAATGATCACTTTCATTAATGAAAATGATCTTTCTTGTAAAAAGTTCAAATTGGTAGCAATTTCCAATCGAAGGTAGGCCTAAATTCGACCCAGAGTTGGTGTCGGTTGGGCAGCTCTAGGAATCGCATAGGAGAAAAAAACTGAGCAGGAACCGGAGAAAAATAATCTCAGACTAGTCGTTTTGCGCTGAGGTCTCTGAATCTGTTTGATGTACATAACACATTTGTGAGATGGCCGTGTCCGCAACGGGTATTTATTGCATACGGCTATACCATAGTCACTCTGGTACTCAACCTGGAAAGGCGAAGCCCTAGCTGATCTGGACAAGGCCTGATATCAAAGATAGCCGACCGTGAAGGCTTGCAGGAGATGTGTCGTGGGGTACCAACCAACCAACCAACCAACCAACCAACCAACCAACCAACCAACCAACCAACCAACCTACCATCTGTAGTCAACTCGTTGACTACAGAGTGCTGTTTTTGGCACAGATCCGTACAACACAGATATATACACGCATGCGTAAAACTCAATAGCGCCACTCAACTTCCGCTTATCTTCCGAGGATCAGAAAATCCTGGGATTTGGGGTATCCCCGAACAAATGTACATGTACTCTCTTGACAAAACCATAGCATTTCTTGAACTTTCAGAAGTGTCCATAAATTTTACAGCGTTGGCGAAACACCCAGGTCCCCCAACAGTTGTTGCAAATAGCCTGTGCTCAAAGATTTTGGAAGGGAGGTGTGGATGGCTGCCGACCTCCGTTGGACGATTGGATACACCATGGTTGGATACACCATCGGAACCAAGAATTAAGCAAAGCTGACAAGATCTCTGCACCGTATTTTGTTTGAGCTGGTTAAAGGTTTCCATCATTTAACATTTTTGTACAAGGCCTAATTGCCGTCTATCAAACGGGAGCAGGAAATTAAGGTGCGCGCCTAACGTATCCGGACAGGTGGAAATGCGGAAACAACCTTTCAAGGAGAACTGTGGAAGAGCACAGTGTGGAATACAACTTATGAATGAACTCGAGACATGCGAAAATTGGTGCTGCATGCACCCAGGCTTTCTCGATATGACTCGAGGCTTGACTCAATCGAAACGACAGTAATATCGTCATTTCGAGAGGTTGATGACCTTGACCCTCCAGCCTGAACCAAATGGACGTTTCCTCCAGGTGACAACACCCCACAACTAACTCCGTTGTCGTCAAATAATCAATGACACTTTACGAGTTACAGATCGACCAAGCCCTTTGATCAAGCGTACGTCGTCCACGACTGAACGGCAGATTCGATTCACAGCAGAGCGGCGGGTGTTTTCCCACGCCGCGCAGCAAATTTACATCCAAATTAATTGAGAATCAAGAAACAAGCAACCCACCATGTTTAAAATTAGCTGAGGTGCAGCGCTGGGATCAAGCCCAAACAAACAACTGACGAGTAATAACTGTGAGCTTTCCACGCAATTCGTAGGGCAAAGGCACTTCGTAATTTACATGCTTTGCTGCACATTCAATCAGCAGGTTCGTCTAACGAAAGATTCTTGGGCGTTCATACTTATCGAAGACAAATCCCAATGGATGTTGCTCCAGTTTACTTCAGTTGTCTTTTGTTGACATACTTCAAATAGATGAAGTAACTGACGCTTGCCCGCGTCTAATCGAGAACACACATTTCTTGAAAACATCTTTCAATAACTGCCTCGTAAATACAGCTGTAATTGCAAATGCCTCACGGCAAGGTAGAGTTGAACGGCAAAGTCCTGCATTACTCAAAGTTCTCAAGGTAGAATTGAACGGCAAAGTCCTGCATTGATCAAAGTTCTCCCACTTAACGTATTTACTGCTGTGACGTCTTCATCGCTTGTGTAATTTGGGACAAAATGATCCTTTCCAGCACAAAAAAAGTAGAGTTCTTAAATACTATTCTTCCAAGTGCACGTAAAAATTCCCATTAGAAGACAATTAACGAAATGCGTGGGGGTGTATGTGAGTTTGTTTCTGCATTCAACTGGGGACCCTGAACAATAGAGGACAATAAGGTCCCCGATTGACAGAGGGTCCCCGATTGACAACTGTGTACAAAACATATGGGTGGTCTTCTAAAAAAGTTGAAGTACAAACAAAAGAGGAACAATAGGGGGTCCCCAGTTGCAGGCAAATACACACTTGGGTGTGTGTGTGTGGGGGGGGGTTAAGAAACCACAAAGTGATAAAGAAAGTAGTTTTTATTCTTTATTTTTCATCCTGCAATGATAACCCATACTTCATTTTTTACACGAATGAGATGTTCGTTGTGCTTTTAAAAATAATAAATCATAAAATTTTATTTAAATATAACGAGGCTGCCTCATAATTATGCTTGCTTGATCATCAGATCTTGGTGCCTTTATGCACGTCGAGTAATAAACTTCAAGGTAATGCAAAACAACAACCACCAACGCATAAAATACATATGAGCCTAGGTGACAGAAACTGAAGCAGGAACGCCAGTGCAAGGAGGATGTAGCTGTCTTGGGAGGAGACTCTAAAGGCATTGATTGGTATCTCTATTTTAGAGGTTAAGGGACATACATTCCAATGTCTAACAGGTTATTGTTACCTCAAAGGTCTTCAGTGATATTGGTGAACAAAAATATAGCCATGTGATAACAGGAGGTATGGCTTTAGCAACTATTAAAAGGTCTTACAATGCCCTTGGAGTGTGAAGTAGTTCTGTTAATTTACATTTGAGACGACCATCTCCACCGGGAACTAGGTGTGTATAAACGCGACACGGCACGAATGAATAGAAACGGTAATGAGACACAGAAGAAACGACATGAAGCTTACTTTTTTTTCTCTCAAGACAAACTATCTGGGCTTTAGTTTCCAGAAAATTGAACAAGTTTTAATCTTGTTTGTTTCATGAAAGGGGTGGTTTATTTTGATTCATCTGACCAACTGGGACTTCGTTCGTGCCAGGGTGTGTAGGATTGCACAAAGCCACTACATAATAGCTTTACCAATGCATGTACAAGGAACGTGTACGACACTTTATCTTCGTGCATACAGTTAAGGGGGAAATGGTCAAACTTTGTTAGAACATTATATACATTTACCGTGTATACACCTTTTCCACTTATTGCAATTTATCATCACCCGCTGATTGCAAACACTGTGAGAAAACTGAATGCCAGACATGAAACGTTTTCTTTAGCGTTGAACGATGCTATACGAAAATTGTGCACATACTTAGATTGAAGAGGAAAGTCTGCTGTCGCAGAGATTTTCAGAAGTACGCCCTTTCATTAGTTATTTGCATATCAAATTAGCTATGACTATGAAACCTGGTATCGTGTTAATTAAAAATTTCAGAACCACCTAACCCTTGAAAATCAATCAATCTTACTAACCATCGCCGTAAAGAAGACAAGTTTTACCTTGGTATAGGCTATAAGCTTATCAGTAATGATATAGATGTCAGTGCATTATCATATGACGTAATATTCTTGTGACAAGCAAATAAGCGAGGACAATCAGTGTCGACAAAACATGTCGAATTCTGCGTTATATCTCCCGAACAAACTTAGGCCTTACGCTACAAATTGAATGAGTAGGGCACTGAAAGATCTTTCACTTGCTTTTTCTCGAAGAAACAAACTGAAAGCCAAACTGGCTCTCCTGAAACTAAAAAAACCTCTCAGCACTACAGCCTTGCATTCAATTTAACAATAGACTTTACAGGCACTCGTCCAACTTGTTACCACCATTATAATTTTGATGTTGAAGGAGTTCAACAAACAGACCTATTTGCTTCTGAACAAGGTTTGATGTGGGAACCATTATACACACAAAATGTACAGGTGCATGAATAAGTAAATGTAAAGGAAAGTGACCTCATATTAATGTGCAAAACGTTCAGTTCAGTAACACCAACAGAGAAACTGATCTGTCATAAATATCCACTGACCCCGCTGAACAGTGACGCAATCAAAATGCGTCAAATTAATGCCGGGTTCACTGCACTTTATCCACGAAGTCATTAGCACTAATGTTAACAAATTGATTGCAATGCGTTAATTCGGTGAAATACATGAATTCAGTAAATATCAATCATTTCAGAAAAAGCAAGGCCGGTTATTTCGGACAGTTTTTTTCGCATTTCCTTCGCGGCCTTTAAGATCCCTGCCTGTTTTCAGGAAGTCGTTAATTGCTTTTAATTCAGCTCTAGGTGACAGAGAGCGCTTAATGCGCAAATGTACCGGATAAACGGGGTGAAATCCTTCGCATGGCTAAAGCTACATTTTTGGCCTGATCTAATTTAACGACAGTCGCTCACAAAAATACTGGAAAACCCTTTTTTCAGTAATACCGTTGAAAAGATGAGGTATTACTTCTCTCTGCTATACTGTAACACTGGCGACTACTCTACTTGCAGCATGCACCCAGTCATCGGGTGCAGCGTCATGAAATATTTCAAGTAATTTTGGATTAGTTCGTCTGTTATCACTCACGGAACGAATTAGCTTTCAAAGAGGGTGTACTCGCGTATTATGGGGCAAATATGCAAGCAAGACGAGACCTGACAGTAAGATTGGTTCTTGGATAACTTCTGGAGGGCGCTTTGGTATTTTCTGAAAGACCCCGAACATTTATCTAACGTTTGGTAACCCCAACGAATGAAAATGTTTCATACCAATGATACTGTACATTGGACATACTTCTAACTTTAAAGTGCAGTTTTCTCGCCCAAGGCCGTACGCAAATGATATTGATTAATGGAGGTATATGTACAAGCTTTATGGTGTGCCTTATGGGTTTAATTTCATTATTCGCAAAAAAAATTAAAAGAGTGGTAAGTGATTTAAATAATGAGAAAGTATATATATAACAGTCTATTTTACAGAATCGTCGTTGGGTGTAGTGTGCTTGGTTTGTTATTAGCGCCTTCTACCAGGCTTGCCTCGTACGGGGCTACCGTCTTCATGCTTCTCTCGACCGTGCATGACGCAGTATTCTGCCACCTCCTCCCACACGCACCCTAAGTCTTCGTGGCAACATTCCTCGTTCAGACCGCGTTTTCTCCTCTTGCTTCCGGCCAGGAAGTTCTTGGCCGTCCACTCGTTCAAAAACTCTGATAAAAAAAGAAAAAGAAAGTGAAAAATCGATCAGTTCCTACGAGTTTGCAAAATTCCAAGTCAAATAAGTTTCAACATCTGTTGAAACTTATCGGAGGGCGAGTCTAGCGAAGGCAATACAGGTTTATTTCAACGTATATAACGAAGAACTTGATAATAGTTATATAGCAAAACTTCCCTTAAAAATGTTCAACTTGTATTAGCCGATGGATCAATGACAAGCATTCAAAAGGTCCCTCTGTTCACTGAACGATACCGTAACATGGGGTAACTTTAGGTCATTTTTTACATGTATGTTATCATTTCTTCTCAGTTATTAAAGACAATAAATTTCAATTTCCCATCTTTCAGAGCGTTGTGATACTCATCTAAACTTCGATGCTGAAAAAAAGGAATTTCAAAATGTATTGGTGTCTTAGGGCTTGAAAAGGGTGACCAAAGTTACCCTGGGCTTGGGTCAACATTGGCCACCATTTGTTTTTAGTCTTCATCAAAATGGGGCGTGAAAATCCAAATAAAATGGTTACCATGGTTACCACAAACAACAAAAATGTTAAATAATGAATAACTGTGATATTTCTGAACAAAATGATACTAAATACGTCCGCATCCACTGTATGTTTGAGAGAATAACAACGTTTCAAACCCTCTCGTGGTTACTGACCAAAGTTACCCCTCTGACCAAAGTTACCCCATGTTACGATATTGTAAAATAGATTGGCTCTTGTGGCGTAGAACATAATCACCATCAGCAAAGGTAATCGATGTACATGCAAACGGAGTCGGGGAAGAGAACACTTTGAAAAAATTCATGAAATCACGACAAATTTAAAACAAGATGGAACCTCACGATGTTTGAATAATATACTGATGGATTCAGATTTGGAAGTTGGCAACTAGTAGTGAAAGTCTCCAGAATTTACGAAAAATGCTGACGGGCAAAGCAACATCGGCTACCACATGCCAAATAAATCTTGAGAGTGGGCGAATAAGGTTAAATTTTCCCTTAATTCCGACTGCGCCATTTGAAATTGTTTATGATCATCTCATCTGAATAATCCTACAAAGTCTGTGACCGGTCGAAAGTACTCCACGCTGTCCTTGCACCTAAGATATCAAACTTGGATTTTCGCCACAACTAAAAATTAACCCCGATTATGCCATGCTTTTTACCGAAACAGACACGTCAAAGACTGTGTAGCCTTGGATGTAATTCGATTACGCGAGCGCCGTCTGATCGTTTAATGTGTCAGACATAATCGACCTTATCCCCTGACTTGCGAGAAAATCGTTTCTTGTTCGCTCGTTAATTTCTACGGTTCACTTCAAGTGCGTTCGGAGAAAATCGGGGCCGACGGCCAACAGAGTCGTTTGCCAAAATGTCACACGCTTCGCAAAATGAGAGCAAGTTCAAAGAAGCATTATTACACAACACCCAATCACAAGTCGGGAAACCTGAATGATGTAACTGATCTACGTCAACATTTCCGAAAGATTCTTATCAAGAATTATGATTTCCTTTGTTACTGATTTTTTGTTGGGAGGGGATCGAACATCATCTGCTAAATCCTTAACGTTCTTTGTGTGCCCTGAACAAGATTGAGTTCTCTAGAGCCTAGTCCATTGGTGCAAAAAATATTCAATTGAGTGAAATCAATGAAACACATTATTAGCGAGGCGCCCCACAAAGGTGATCGAGGGAGTTGAAGTAAAGCCAGGGGCAGCTACTTGAGGTACATGTACAACTAGCACTTTCAAGCAGGCTATCTGAGAGAGAGAGAGAGAGAGAGAGAGAGGGAGAGAGAGAGAGGGGGGGCTGAAGCTCCCTTGCTGTCCCCCAGTCTTGTCCCAAAGTATTTTGATTCAATTTACAGCCTTCGGAGTCAACGCTGCCACTGCGTCCGGAGACCGCAAAGGTGCGTCGCTGTTGCTACATCGCCAGAAAACTATTACCGCGGATATGAACTGTACGATCTTCATAAAACGCCGCGCCCAGTCCCCCCTACTGACTCGGGTACATATGACCAACGGGGAATTCTACAAGAAGTCGTGAAATTGATACAATCTCACCGTCGGAAGGGATGGGTCTGTAAATACGCTGATCAGATGCTTAATTTCACATCACTTAACGCTGCACCCAGCGGCAATAATCAGCCATTAAATCGGGACCGCAGCATCAATTTTCCGCCTAACTCAGACAAGTTTCAGGTTCCAACAGAAAGATGACCCAAATGTGGCCCTTGAGGTCTCTAGTCTGCATCCACAGCGAAAAGGAGAATCTACGTCTTCTCAAGAAAACTGTTGATCTGCACGTCAACTAGCAAACCTCTAATTCTCAAACCTACTCAGTGTTTTAGGTGTGCCGTTCTACTGGCTGTGGTATAGGGACTATGACATACATCGAATACTGAAGAAATGTCATAGTATGACATTTAATGGTACTGCATGCAAAGAATATCATCGAACTCCTTAAAAGATAGTGGCAATAGACTGGAGGTCAATTTTTTTTAAACCACGATCGAATTTTAAATAGATCTTCCCCTACCTCTCCCCTGGACTATATTCTGCATACTACTATTTATAAAAATCTCCTTTAGACTAGTACCAAGTGTCACTGAATTAATTCTGTCAAAAGTTTGAAGCAGATGGACACGTATTTGCGCGTCTGTCCTGATAAACAGAGAGAAAAAGTGCTGCACTCGCCCAAGGAAGCATTCACACTGGGCAACGTTAGGCCGGAGTCACCATAACGAATAAGCTAATCGACTAAAATTGGGCCTAGACTTTCCTCAGGTGGGCATTGTCTCATGTAAAGATTGCTGATTCATAGAGACGTTCATGTCACTCGAATATCGCAGAAGACAGCTATAAGGCCTGTCCATACGTTGTGCACAAGCCAACACAAACGCGAATCGGTGAGGTCAGACCAAAATATTCGCGGTTAGAATCCACACAAGTTGAACACATTCCAAGTAAAGCGAAATTTTGCCGCAAACATTCCTGACGTCAAATTCGCTTCGCTATCAGGTTCACCCTCAGTATGAACAGGTTTGTAAGAGTCAACTCACCTCGTCCCATTCTTTTGGTGATCTTCCGTATGTCATTCTGGCAGGCTACGTCCCAGACCGGCAGAAGGGCCTCGTTACATGTGTTCACGTGTCGCTCTGTGTTCCAGAGTTTCACCCAATCAGCCTTGCTCCTGCATGCAGAGAACAAATACAGCGCGAGCCACAAATTAAAATGAGAAAATAAGCCCCTCTTCCTGAACCTCTTCCTGAATCAGTTAGAAGAAAGATAAACCAGGAGGCTTTTTGCCGTACAGCGTTTTCCTTTTCAGACGGCGTGCTTCCGTACACCCGAGAACGGATTCTGTAACTATTTTTTTTTTTTGGGGGGGGAGAATTTGGAAGTTTTCAATGTGGCCTTCTTTGGCCTTTCTGAGGGGTGTGGCTCCTTGTGGCTACACTTCAGGGCTTTTTACACGCTTTTAACTTAAGGGAAAAGAAATAGACCACAAATATGTCCCCCATTGGCGCCCCACGAATCCACTCTTGAACCGACGCTTCATTCGCTGATTCCCGGCAGCCGTTTGAGAACAGCAATACATTGCCGCTGAGCGTGTCTGCCAGGACGCAAGTAGAGTCAGGTATTCAGTATTTGAAAGAATGTGTGAGTTGGTTCACGTTCAGCGGTGTCCTATGCTATGGAAAATTTGCTGTTATCATTTGGCAGTGTGCAGTGTCTGTTCAGCTGTAAGCGCCACGTAGATTCAGCAAAAGTCTTCACCCCAGGACATCGTTTCCGGACAGGCATATATTCTTGTTTAACTAGGGTTCCATACGCCCGCGGCATTGCTAGTGAGATTTGCTTTCGTTGGCCTGGGGCGATTTCAATTCGCTCGCTGTGTAGCTGTTTTGCCAACATTTTGAAACACCACTGACACCGATAATCCTTCCGAAACAACAGTCAGATTGTTATTCCCTGGAGCCTTCTCCTCTCGGGTTTGGTTTTTTTCTCAATAAACCCTTTGGGAGGCTTCCAACCCACGTTCAACTCCGCCCTCGTCCCTGGCGGCCCTTTCCAGACGATGCAAAACAAACATTTCTAGATTTGTCAACCGAATACATCCCCTGCATATTTGAAGAGCGTTCTGATTAATACACACCTTCTAACATACAGAATCACCCATCAGTTCTTCCAAAGCTGGTGTATGTAAGAAAACCCCTTTATGAGGAATTCCAAAACCTCAACCAGCACAGTGATTGGGTACACTGATTTAAATGAGCAGAGCTGAGAATTTCAAGGTTTGTTTCCGCCCTTCAAACAAATGAAGCCAATAAGAGAATCACAAAGAAAAAAGTCACAGAATGGCTTTAATTTAGAATTTCTATGTTTTTTAAAAGAGTATGCGGTAGCGTACAAATTCACTATTAGTAAAAGAATTAATTTGGGTGATGGAAAAAGTTCAAAAGTACGACTAAAACAGACTGTGCTTAGTATGTTTGAATTAATTTTGCTTCTTGTTAATTAAATTTCTTAAAAGTTCTTGACACCGTTCATTGAATTTCCTTCTTTGTCGAATACTGTCTTTGGTAGGGTGACTAACAACTTTCATTAACCTGATTGTTTCGTGTGTGTTTCAGACGTGCGTAACAATAATAATATCCGTAA